AAAGCTGCATAAAACTTCAACATTACATTGACGGCCACTTATACCTGCTAGAGCCAGGGTTATTAGACATTGGTAATTCTGATTTATGAACAAAATAATTCGATGCATCCGCCAGCCTAGCATGGACAAGGCAAATGAGAAGAATATAAAATCTCAATGAAGAAATAGTTATTTTACTTGAAGGACATTGACTCTGACCATGTTACCAATATTTCTAATGAAGAGTGATAGAAAGATTTCATGTTTTCTATAATCCATATTGAAATTGGTTCTTTGCAAATGAAATTCAAATGCGTGTTAAATCATTTCAATAAAGCGTTCCCGTTTCTACAAGCAAGCAAAAGAAAATAGTTTTTGTCATTTTCCTTTGCTGAAAGGTGAAACTATTTCGACTGAAATAATTAAAAGTACAACACTTATTAAGATTCCTTAATTGTGCAATTTATAAAAGCAAATTTTAAGACGTCAAGAACCAGTCTTCAATGCCATCAGCTCACCATTTAGCGCAGAAGCTGATTCAGCTCCAGAGGACATAACTCCAAGCAAAGAGAACCTCCAGACAGTATTTCCATAGAAGTCTTATAGGTGCCAGAAGCTGTATTTCAACACTTGAAAAAAACTTTGCTGCTGTTATTAGGGTACACATACACATCTGTTGTTCTTCTTTTTCTTCGTTCTCATTTTACATGTTGGAGGGTTCAGTTCAGTAATCCCAAATCTGAGATGAACTGCGCAGTGGCTTCCAGATCAGGCAGTTCACCAAATAGTCTTTGCAGGGCCTTGGGGCCAGAGTCTTGTTCTGGCCTCTTGATATAGTATGCAGCTTTCAAGGACATGGTCATCATTCTCTGGTGAGGCTTCACAAGGGCAGGACCCGACATTTAACTTCCGAAACATATGTTGTTTCATTTAGTGAGCAAGTTTGTTATTTTTTGTAGAAGCTAAACAAGTGTAATCATTGGTCAGTGTTGACTGACTAATTTGACAGTAGTCACAAGGGTAACAACTAGTAAGCTAGTTCCACAGTTCCGGAACATTATGCATGAGTGTAAGAAGTAAAATACTGCACATTAAGTACAACTGTAGATTTGTGGGGATAGTGTGATAGAAAAAGACAACAGTTAAAAAAAAACGCAAAGTTGGTTTAAAAAATTGCTAACTCTTGTTGTAATTTTTCAACGTGGAGTGTGGAAAAAAAAGGGAAAGAAACGTAAATAGAATACAGTGTAAATATGAGCTCTAAGACATTCTACACAATAAGCTAGCGTATCTTTCTAAGATATATATATATATGCGGCCCGCCATTCCCAGTTTTTTTTTAATGCGGCCCTCGATACAAAAAGGTTGCCCACCCCTGTACTATAGCATTCTCAGTGCACTATGGTCCAATTTCTTTTCTGGACCTTTGGGAAAGGTTTATCTGGGAGAAGGTTTCCGTGCTGCCTTTATGTGATGAGCTCAACTCAACTCAAGACTTAAACATGAGCCCCTTAATCAGTAGACTATTGGTTTATCTCACCAATTTAAAAAAGAGCATTTAAATAATAGTATTAAAATTATCATTAGACTAGACTTGGTCAATTTTTATTCTGGATGACTTGTTTATTGATTTATAGTTATTTTTGTCTTTGTTTTAACTCTTGATACCTTCCTCAGGGGGATGCCATAGACTGATAATTTATCTGAACTGACTATAATAATATTTGACTCTTGATACCTTCCTCAGGGGGATGCCATAGACTGATAATTTATCTGAACTGACTATAATAATATTTGACTCTTGATACCTTCCTCAGGGGGATGCCATAGACTGATAATTTATCTGAACTGACTATAATAATATTTGACTCTTGATACCTTCCTCAGGGGGATGCCATAGACTGATAATTTATCTGAACTGACTATAATAATATTTGACTCTTGATACCTTCCTCAGGGGGATGCCATAGACTGATAATTTATCTGAACTGACTATAATAATATTTGACTCTTGATACCTTCCTCAGGGGGATGCCATAGACTGATAATTTATCTGAACTGACTATAATAATATTTGACTCTTGATACCTTCCTCAGGGGGATGCCATAGACTGATAATTTATCTGAACTGACTATAATAATATTTGACTCTTGATACCTTCCTCAGAGAATGCCATAGACTGATAATTTATCTGAACTGACTATAATAATATTTGACTCTTGATACCTTCCTCAGGGGGATGCCATAGACTGATAATTTATCTGAACTGACTATAATAATATTTGACTCTTGATACCTTCCTCAGGGGGATGCCATAGACTGATAATTTATCTGAACTGACTATAATAATATTTGACTCTTGATACCTTCCTCAGGGGGATGCCATAGACTGATAATTTATCTGAACTGACTATAATAATATTTGACTCTTGATACCTTCCTCAGGGGGATGCCATAGACTGATAATTTATCTGAACTGACTATAATAATATTTGACTCTTGATACCTTCCTCAGGGGGATGCCATAGACTGATAATTTATCTGAACTGACTATAATAATATTTGACTCTTGATACCTTCCTCAGGGGGATGCCATAGACTGATAATTTATCTGAACTGACTATAATAATATTTGACTCTTGATACCTTCCTCAGGGGGATGCCATAGACTGATAATTTATCTGAACTGACTATAATAATATTTGACTCTTGATACCTTCCTCAGAGAATGCCATAGACTGATAATTTATCTGAACTGACTATAATAATATTTGACTCTTGATACCTTCCTCAGGGGGATGCCATAGACTGATAATTTATCTGAACTGACTATAATAATATTTGACTCTTGATACCTTCCTCAGGGGGATGCCATAGACTGATAATTTATCTGAACTGACTATAATAATATTTGACTCTTGATACCTTCCTCAGGGGGATGCCATAGACTCTGAACATTTATCTGAACTAACTGAAGAAGATGAGATACACGTTGTTCGACCTCAACTCCGTGGTTTCCTCAAATTGGATGTACTTTATCTCATTCCATTTTTCACCAAGAGGTTTACTCAGCAGGTCTGTAGGAGTACTTAAGAAGTATAACAGTATTTTCTCTCTCTATTGTTGAAGGGGTGCTGGGACAGTTTGCATACCCAAATCCCTCCACTTTTATTTGTTCTTAGCAGGATATCAAGAGAGAGGCTGATCTTTTTGTTTATGTTGTCCAGCCAGCTTTTTTAACTTGTAGCTGGATACATTTTAATGCTTTTCCACTTTTTGTCACGTAGGCCTCCTCAGATCACCCACATTTGTTAGACAAGAGACATTTGTTCAAATAGATTTCACTAGTGCCACAACCAGTCTTTGTTAAAATAGATTTCACTAGTGCCACAACCAGTCTTTGTTCAAATAGATTTCACTAGTGCCACAACCAGTCTTTGTTCAAATAGATTTCACTAGTGCCACAACCAGTCTTTGTTAAAATAGATTTCACTAGTGCCACAACCAGTCTTTGTTTAAATAGATTCTATTAGTCATCAGTGAGAGCATTCAAAGAGAATTTACCAGTACCAGCCTAAAGCCTCTTTGTTTCTGTTCCAAACTGATAGACATTTCCTATGTTCTTAGAAAGTGTCTTTAGTCTATTTGATATTAACTTACAGATATTTGAAATGTTCCTACTTACTTTCTACAAATAATTACATTATTTACTTTTACTATTATAAATACTGATTGTTAATATCTTAAAGAATATATATCTCTATTCATAACTGCTTGAATTTTAATGCTCCAAATTATTTTATTTTTAAATTGTTACCAATTTTTATAAATATGGTGCCTTTGATGGATTACATACACATTCTTTAAAAGCTTTTTTTTTGTTATACAGGAAATGAAAGAAGGCCGTTGCCAGGTAGATGTTCTAGCTAATCAATGGGAAATGGAGGTTCGTGCTGCTCCTTCTGAGTCTGAGGATGATGTTACTGAATTTGAAACATCACTTATTTCTCAGTCAGGCTCAAACAAACTTTTAGCACCAAATGGAAGCAGTACCCCAAGCAATGTTTCTTAAACATTGATTTTATGTATAATATTTTATTGTTTGGTCTTTCTAAATCCTATGGTAAAGAAGCTAGATCTAGTTTCACTGTGTCCAATACATTTTTGTGATCTTTTATATATATTCTGTGATTGTGCAATATTTTTAAGGCCCTTTTTTTTTTCTGTCTTTTTCTTTTTTCTACGACTTTGTTTTTACACAACCAAATGAGTTTCTGTGAGTGTATATGTTAGAATTTGACATGTAGAGTTTTATTCTATTGCAAGCTAATTATTCATTATTTATTTTTTGGATTCAAAATTGTAATAAATAAATTTGCTTTGTTTCTGACATTAGAATATTGGTTGTCAAAAAAAAATGTACATTTTATGTTCCGATTCATGTTCTAAAGTTATTTTTGTGTGTTTTAAATCAAATGTTTGATCAAAGTCCAGGTTTACTTTGAAGTTTTTCACTTATTTACACTGAGCTCTGTAATACAGTACAGAAAGGAATGGGTTTCTTTTGGATTATATGAAACATCAGATATTTTGAGCTAATGGGAGCAATCTCATGAGATTTTGACAGTACTTTGAGTTGTGGGAAGTTTTTGTGTTTTTCACACGATTACATAAAGGGGATAACCTACTCAGTCATGAATGATATGTTTATTTGATATTAATGTTGGTCCAAGGTACCCATGTTGTAGAACTACACATCAAATTGTACCATAAACTGTTGTAATGTCTCATGTGAATAAAAAAAAAACAACAACTTTATATTATTTTATATTATAAGTGGGTCAAAGATTCTATTTTTATATTTATAAAATCTGTATATAAAATTGTGTTACATTTTAAACAGATTGTGGATGTATTTTTTTAAAACATCAGTTAAATTGTAAATATTTTTGTGTGTAAATAGCTTAATAAAAAGTGGGATCTTTACATAATAAAGGCATGATATTTGTTTTCCAATTTTGATTTAGTGATTTTCTTGTTTGATTTTCTTGGGGTAAGATAGTTATCCAGATTTTGGGAAACTTTATAAAAATGTCTTTTTATAATTAATCTCTTTTTTGTTTGGATTCTTGTTAGGGGTTTGACACATTTTTCAATCACAGATTCAATGTGTCAAAAGCCAAAGCAATGCTCTGGTATAAAACTCTTTTTTTTTTGTTTTGTTATTCTTGAAAATCATTTCCATTTATTTCTGGTCTACATCATTTTCTGTCTTTACCTATCTTGCTGCATTATTTTTCTAAGGTTAAAGGTCACATTGAAAAAAAAAAAAATGATGTCCTACTTCAAACAAACATATGTTAAAAAAAATATTAGCAGCCAATCTGAACAATATCTATCAAAATATTACATCATTTACATTAATGTTTTTGTATTATAAAGACTACACCATATTGCAAATCAAATTACCAAACAAATTATACCACCTCCCCATCTTTTCACTGCTATTTGATGTAAGGTTGCTTATTGTTTCAGTTCTTTCTCTTTCCCTTTCTGTAAAATATTCGCCACATTTTTCTGACCATGTAAATATTAACTAAAATATTTAACCTGTAATACTTTAAGCATTTTTATACTACCTAAATGCCCATATTAAAATACCTTTTTTCTTCAAAATGGGTATAAGATACCTTTTTCTTCAAAATTGGTGACGAAAATCCTCTGTATCTCAAGGAGTCACTGTGTGAGACAGCCAAGGAACCTGATGTGTCACTATTGTTCAGTCTGTTCAGCAAATATTTCATGTCCAGTAGTAAATTCATTCTATAAATGTGTGTGATGGCTGTAGCTCCTTCAACCTACAAGAAAAGTCAAAGCTTAAAAAGCCTTGCATATACACATAAATTTGACTCTTATGGGTTTACATTCTTGAAGTTTTTTCCTTAATTCTTATAGCCCATAATTTGAAACAGAGTTGTTTTTTTTTATCTTTATCCTTTTCTTAAATCGCATAGTGCATCTCTAAGGTTTGGTGCCTCTGATGGAGAATAAATGTAGATTCCTTGAATTTTTTTTTTATGTAAGTGTCAATGTTTATCTATGATATACATATTTTATGTTATATCGGATGCTGACAGCCATAGTCTTCCTGGGGTCTATGAGAGTTATCTTCTTGTTTACTTCAGCTATAATGTTTCAGTTCAGGAAGTGGTGAACCTTACCTAGTTGGCATCACACGATGCTTGATTCTGGCAGATCCTGTGACACTTTTGTTTCCCTAACTGCACCAATCATGGCTATTCCTTTTGTGCCAACAGCTGCATGGTGAAGTGAAAAATGCTGTGTGGGTGACAACTTTCTGAACCTAGCCAATGACCAGGCTATTGTCACTCTAGAATAGACACACATTGCCACAACAAGAAGTAGCCTACAAGGCAAATCATATTTTGTAATGACAGATGGCTTCTTACTAATATAATTGCTTAAAGTTCTTAATGAGAAAGAAAATGCTTGCAATATATTATCTATTAAACTTGGGTCTGAACCTTTCAAACAATTTTTTTTGTCATTAAAAATTTGTTTAGGCCAACATTTAAAAAAAAAAAATGTTGACATTGTTTTTTTACTTAGCATAATGATGTATGCCTGAGCTTGATTCATCTTCTGTTTTTGATTCGTGAACAATTTCTTTAAAGTTACATCACAGCAATGACAATATTCCTAAGCTAATTGCCATTTAATACAGAAAAAGATGTTATCTAATATAGGAAAACCAATGACAACTGAACTGATGAAGAAAATGTAAGAAAAAGATATATATTTTTCTTATTTAGTTAATCCATTTGAAATATTTCATTAGAAAGGTTGATTTGATGTTTTAAATATTTTATTGGCATAATTTTTCAGCTTTCAAGGTATTTTCTAAATGAAATATTTGCCAAATATGTATTTTCTTATGTCATTGTTTATGAAATGTTGAATAAATATTCCTTTTAACTATGTATTCTTTATTGATCATTTCATTGTTATGAATTTTTTTTTTCAGCTAAGCCTATTATTGTGTTTACTGATAAATGATTTAACTTTGGTAAACTCTTAAAAGTAAAGACAAAGTTTTCCAATGCTAGTGTTAGTACATACATACAGCTATTTTTTTTATGCCCTTCGGACTTAGGGAATAAATTGAAAATTGTGGATGTTATAATCTTGTAGTTTGAAGCTTATTTATTGTCAGCATGAGGGAAAAACGCTTCCAACAAAAGTGCCTTCGCTCCATACTGGACATAAAGTTGGCGTACAACATTTAAATAACCATGTTCTGCTGAAGATCAGTTTGAACAGTATAGAAGCACTAAATACCATTCTACAGCTGCGCTGGGTCGAACACTTATCCTGCATGAGGGACAACTGCTTGCTAATCAAAGACATTGACATTAATGAAATTAATTGCCAACATGACAAGTAAAGAAAGAAATTCAGAGCTAATGCAAACCAACTGAACTAGCTTACCTTTCTCTAGCCTGTAATGTAATTGGCTTTTTAAGGTGAAATTCTTTTGATATCTTGATAAGTATAAACAGTTAGATTGTTCTCCTCTCTTCCATTCAAAAGTAGGAGCTTCAGATCATCATTTTTATTCATTTCTGAATAAACGATCAAGGCTTGAATGTTATGTCATTGTTATAGAACTTCATAACTTATGTCCTCAAGTCAATACCAAAATATTCTAAGTTATTCCTTCATTATATTTTATGAATTAATAATGTAGAGGCCATACAATTATCTTATTATAATTTACAAATATTCTCTTCAAAAGAAGATGTTCATGTATTACGTTTATCCATAAAGTCATGCTAAGTCATTAGTTTTCTTGGATGATTCAGACAACTAGTTTTTAGTTGTTGGCATGACACCATGGAAGATAAGAGCACTTATCATATGCACATTTGTCCTAGCATTTGGAATAAGAAATGAGCTTTTATCTTTGTGTCTTTTTTCAATAGTTGTTGTTATTGAATTTGTATGTACTGATTCGGTGTTTTATGTATGTGGGTCATTAAGTAAACTAGAAACAGTAGTCTGACTGTTACTTTAGGGACACCTGAGTTTACTGTTATTTGTGTTAAATTGGATCCATTTTTTTAATTACGCTTCTTTTGGACCCATTGGTAAGAAGAACCCAAAAAAAAATAACAAAAAACATCGAAGTGTTTACATTTTGTATGTAAGCCATGGTAGTGAACTTTGTCAACTGCCTTCCCAAGATTAAGAATGAGTGCAGTATTTCACATGACCACGCTAACCCATTGCAAGCTGTATATTTTACCATATCTAATGCAGACAAAGCCATTGTCCGCGGGGGTCTACATAAGTTCTCTTCTTGTCATCAGCGCTTGTCTGCGATAAGGGCCCTTCTATGAGTTTCAAATGTGTGCCCCGTGAAATTCGTGAGAGCTCTCACGATGTCTCTTTCTCCTCTAAGCTAGCTAAAAACATGTTTGGAAGGCTGTGTGGTCATCCCCAATTTGAGATGAGTGTCCCAGCGCAGCTGTCAAATGGTAAGTAGTGCTTCTAACTGTTCCCTCCAGCAGAACATAGTTCTTTGTGTGGTAATCGTGCCAGCGTATACCCATGATAGAGCGAAAAGACCTTTGAAGGAATCGTTCGAATAGCACCCAGGTCTTAGAGCCATACAAATGTGTGGTGAGAACCACTGCCTTGTAGACATTGATTTTCGTTGGTAAGCAAAGAGATCTATTCCTGGAATTCTTGCAACTCTCATTTGGAGGCGACCAAAAGCGCTGTTATCCTTAGCTAACTCAGGCACCGTTTCGCCCTCAGTGGCATAGAGGAAACTAGCTGGCAGCAGATGGCCTCTCAAAGAGACAGTTGGAGATCTCGCTTTCACATAAAAAAAAAAACGCGACGCATATTGAAGACTCAAAGGAAAGCGCAAAATAAAACTTAAATAGACCGCCGGCTGAAAAAGGCTTTGTCTGCACGAGATGCGGAAAAATATGCAGATCTCAACTGGGTTTGCGTAGTCATGTGAAATACTTCAATAATTCCTTAATTTATGGAATGGAAGACATTGCCATGTAAATTGTGTACCCTATATGTGGGTAGATAAGGGGTGTATCTGTTAATGGTAATTTTCTTCTATTTTGAAGGAACGTCTGTAATCAGTGACGCCACTAGGGTGGTCTGAATGTGCAGGCCTAACCCATCGGGAAAGGGGCGGTACATAAGCGGAAAGAAAGGATTGAAGGCTCAAAAGTAAAGTAGCAATTATACATAAAACACTGATCCCTAGCCTAATCATCAAATACAAAATCTAATAAAATACTCAGAAAGACACAAAGATAAAGGCACATTGCTCTTTCCATATGCTAGGACAAATTTGTACAAATGCTTCTTCTTCCCTAGTTCTATTAGAGCATGGAATGGGTTGCATGAGCTAGCCAGGAAAACTAGTGACTTGGCAGAATTTAGGTCATTGGTTAATATGCATGACTAAATGCATGACGCGTAGGACGTAATCATCTTTTTTCAAGTAACGTCTGTATTATATAAGATAAAATAAGAAATGTAGTTATGTAATAGTATAGCAGACAATTTAAAAACAATAAGTGTCGGTGACATGAATCTAGATCTACACAACAGAAACGCATCTCTAGCTTAGCTTATGCTTCAGATATAGAATATAGGCCAGTGATCAATTTTACACACTTCCACTTTTTTTTTTTTCATTGATTAAAAATGGCTGACAAAACAGAGAAGTTTGATACTTTGGAACAAAAACTTGAATTATTTATTGAAAATACTCGTCAGATGGGGATAATTGTCAGTGATTTTCAACCACAAGGACAGAATGTACTTAATCAAAAAATGTGAGTGATATTTTAAGGCGTATTTTCTTATTATAGATCTAAATATTAAATCGCCTTCTTTTCTAGATCATAATGATAATCATAATGTCATTAATGACTATTAATGATAAAAAGTAGATCTAAAGACTAAAGTCTAAACTAAGTCTACAGCCTAAGTTACTGGCCCTAAGCCCTAAGTAAGTAAAGCTTCAACTTCACTCAATCACTGGACTTCAGTTCTTTTTATCCGATATTTAGATCTATTTATAATTTAATTTATCGTAAATTTAAAACGTAACTCGGAGTAGGGATGTGAAATAAAAAAAATCATCTTTGAAAAAACAATTTTTCGTTTTTACATCATTAAAATATTTTAACAGAACTTTCCAATGGTGTATGTATAATAATTAATAAATTATGACTGTGTATCAACTGTATGTTTAACAGAAAGTTATGATTTTTTTGGTGGCGTTTTGACCTGACATTGGTTGACATGGAACAAGAGAGAGGAGAGCTTGTGGCTGGCTAAGCCAGAGAGCCACCCCCCAGCTCAAAAGTTAAAAAGTTGGAATTGAGTTTCGTAGAGGATAGATCTAGATCTACTTATTAAATAAGAAATTTAAAAGTAGATCTAGAATCTAGTATTATTAGTAAATTTCTAGCTCACAAAGCTGATTTCATTTATATTTATGAAATTTACTTGTTTTACAGTTTAGAATGTAAATATTGAAGGAAATAAACAAATTATCGGGGTTTGAGCTTCAAGAAATGTCAGAGGGGTGGGGACAAAATGGCCACGTTGTGATGACAGAAAAATAAAATATTTAAAAAGTGGGATCAAAATCCTCTGAAAATTTTTTTTTCAAATGCGCTTTAAAATTCATCACAATTCGTGCGAAGGTGTTTAGTACACACAAACTATTGAAATATATGCAGAATATTAGGCTTTACACAAATTTTTTTTATATAGACTATCACCAAAACTGTCCATGGCCATTATTTTCTTTGTTAAATGGCATTTTCCACTTTGTAAACGCCATGTAAGACTTACAGCAATAAAACTTGGTAGAATTAAAGCCAGGTATGATATGTAATATGGAAAAAAATTATCCTTTGTTCTCTATCCTAACGTCTGTATTGGTGAAAACAAAAAAGTGATATTTTCACAATAAGTAAAAAAAAAAGTAATTAACTTTAAAAAAAAATCCTCATTAACCATTAATTAGGCCATTGTCTAAAGTAATCAATAACACAACTTTAAAACTTCTCACAATTTATTCAAAAGTGTAATAAATTTCCAAGTGCTGCACATGTTAAAAAAAACAACATAAAAAATATGATTTCTAAATTATTGACATTTTTTCTTCCGCACTTCCGTTTTTTTTTTCGCATAGCTACTCGGAGAATGAGAGATCTGTCTAGAATCTAGATCTACTACTCAGTCTACTGTCTAGCCACAGTCTAGTGTCTGTACAGTTACACTTAGATCTAGATCTAAAATCTAGTTAGAAATAGAAATAGGCCTCTGCTTTGAAACTAACAATAGATAACTATAAAAACTACTCTGTAATCTATAATATTTTTATAAGCACTTCCCTGGCACAGAGGTTAGTGTTGGCTTGAGAAAGCTTTTGGAGACTTGAGCCTCAAGTTTAACTTTTTTTTAAAAGCGATCACTGTAACATTCACCCAGATACCTCCCTCTATTCCCCCCATCCCTTTCCCAACTGGTCTGGACAAGCTTAAAATATTGCTAAACAAAAACAGTTGGTAAAAATATTTCTAATTGCACAGATTTATTATTGTTAGTCTAGAGCTATTTTTACAAATTTAATCACATATGACTTATCTAAACTTAATACAATTGAACTTAAGAGCTTTATTATTTTTTTTTATATAGTATTTTAAAAATCTTTTCTTGTTTCTGGACTGAAATTCAAAGGGCTATTTATTTTTTTAATGTTTTGGCAGATAATTATTTACATATATATGAAATTTAAATCCTCAGACAGACAATGGTGACAGAAATGAATGAGATTGACAAACTGCGGACACAAGTTCCAGATGTTCATGTACCTCTTGAAGTTTTTGAGTAAGTTACAGATAATCAATTGATTAGTGTTTTTGTATCAGCATCTTTACTTGCAGCTGGTGTTAAGTTCATTAGTTTCTGTAGCCATCATTTTACAAGAGTGTTATCTGACCAGCACAAT